TATCTCAAAGATAATAAATCTGAAATTTAGTAAACCCAAGAGGTCATAATCTCTTGGTAAATCTGAATATCTATCAGATAGAAAAGAAAATTGGAATGATCGACAGTAATGATTAGCATAGACTTGAAAAAATCACCCGTGGAAACATTCAGAAGGACCCACTAACCCTACGTACAAAGTATCCGTTTGACAGTTTGTTGCAGGTAGACGCGATCCTCGTGGTGGCTTGCCGTTGTCTTGCTTGTCGCTCTCTTGTTAACAGGGCTCTATTTAGCTTAGGTAATGTCACTGATGCAGAGACTATTAAAAATGACTCCTTGGTGATTATTGCCACTTTGACTGACTTTCTGTAGCAAGACGCAACTCTATATGGTATGATATAGGTCATCGAGAATCAAATTTGTGATATTTGACTCTTTGTGGTCGTTTGTCCAATCGCGCTAGAGAAAGGAAAAGGGGGTTCCCGTGATGACACGTAGCTACACGTGCCCAAAATAACCTAAAAAAAATTATGAATTCCGGACCAGTTTGTTGGTGGTTGTAAGTATATTACCATACAAACGATACAAAAGCTCTCAGATAGTGGGGAAGACGTGAAAGTAAGAGGAACGCGAAAAGCTGGCGTTTTCTTTTCGTGTTCGCGCTTTCTTAATTCAGCACGCCCGACTATCTCCACAAATGTCCAGTGCTGGCCACAAGATCCCTACTTTCCTTTTTCATCCTTAGTTCCACACTTCTCACAGGTGTGGGAGTGTAGAAAAAGTCTGTCAAAGTCAGGATAATGTCACACTTTTCCCCTGTTAAGAACCCTTGTCATTCTTACTTTAGTTCTACACTTCTCAGAGGTGTGGAAGTGTAGAAAAAGTCTGTCAAAGTCAGGATAATGTCACACTTTTCCCCTGTTAAGAACCCCTTGTCATTCTTTACTTAGGCTACACTTCTCAGAGGTGTGGAAGTGTAGAAAAGTCTGTCAAAGTCAGGATAATGTCACACTTTTCCCCTGTTAAGAACCCTTGTCATTCTTTACTTAGTTCTACACTTCTCAGAGGTGTAAAAGTGTGGAAAAGTATGACAAAGAATGACAAAGGGTTCATGACTGGGGAAAGTGCGACAATATCCTTACTTTGTCGGACTATTCCACACTTCCACACCTCTGAGAAGTGTGGAACTAAGTAAAGAATGACAAAGGGTTCATGACTGGGGGAAAGTGCGACAATATCCTTACTCTGTCGGACTATTCCACACTTCCACACCTCTGAGAAGTGTAGAGCTAAGTAAAGAATGACAAAGTTTTCATGACTGGGGGAAAGTGCGACAATATCCTTACTCTGTCGGGCTGTTCCACACTTCCACACCTCTGAGAAGTGTAGAACTAAGTAAGAAGTGAAGAAACTCTGGATTTCATGGCCAGCGCTGGACATGGCTCACTATCTCGGAACTTGGAACAGGCTAATGTACACAGTGAGAAAATACTCTGAAAGGATAATGAATTTTGTCCTTGAATGATTTTTATCGTCTTAATTTTGACCGCTTTCATTGCAATGGTATTATGATAAAAGCGGACTGCTTGCAGCCCGCATTTTCTCTTAAAATCCCTTTACTTTTTATCTCAGCAGGATCCGATTACCCAGCGCGATTGCAAACCACGAAGTTATGTTACAATAACGAGTTCCCCGCTTCGTGCTTGATTTTCGCGTGCAGTAACTTCGCAAAGAAAAATAAGAGACTGCTCGCAGTCAAGATAAATGGGGTCCTTACTCCTATACAGAAAGCTATCGACCTCATAGAACATAATGAGTGAGTATCATAAACTATGAACTAGACGGGGTGGGGTAAACCTAAAAAACATTGATTGTACAATTCGAACCTTCAAGTGGCGCGAGGATTATTTCCAAGACTCTGCTTAATTTAATGCATGTTTAGTAATTCACAAGGAATTACAGTAACGCCTTAGAATTAGAACCAATAAAAAAGTCAGATAGCCTACGTGCAAATGCATATTTCACCCATTTCTTTTATGTCGGAGGCCAGAGCACCTCACTGTTAGTCTACTGGCCCAGTTAGTTGTTCAAATGGGGGATAACACTATCCACTGGGTAAATGTTTATCCGGTGAATAGCACAATTGGTTTCGCTGATACTTACCCGCTGGATAGCGCAAACTTACGTTTGATAGTACCTGGCCCTGGAGTGTAAACCGATAAAGGCCTATGATTGGAGCTCTTATGGGGACAGCTTTGATTAAGATGCTGTTTGATGACAGTGGGTTCCACTTCAGCGCTAAGCCATACAACTGTAAGAGGCTGGAGACACTCCCTTATCTGGGCCTAAACAAGGATGTGACGTTGAACAGGGCATGGTTTTGGGGGTCTTGACTCTAAAGCAGGCTGAGGAGTTCAAGATTGGCCATGTCTGGTACAAACAATTTTGTAAGAACTCTAATTCTGTTTTGCCAGACCCCCTCCCTAAAATGAAAGGAATAAGGGTCATGAAAAATGGTCTTGTGTCTTAAACATGGTAGCAAAAGCCAGGGAAAAGCACCCTGGGGATGAGTTTGGGTAGCAAAAGTCAAAGTTTTCAGGCCTCAGAGGCACACCTCTACCCAAACTTCCCATTCCCCTGTGGGGTTTTTTTTTTTTTTGCAATAATGGGTCACGTGATCAACTTTCTGTAAACACGAAAATAGTTCGCTTTTGGAAAATTTTTTCAGTGGGAAATGAAAGAGCATATCAAATTTTGGTCACCAGTAAATTTTCAGCCGTATATAGCGATTGCAATGGCCGCTGAAAATTAAAAGGATTTGTATGAGAAAAATAACTCTTGCCACCCAGTCACGCTTCAGTGGCTTTCCATAAAAATCCTTGTAAATTTTGAAAGTTTTTAACTGTCGTTAAATACAGTACGCACAAAAAATGCATTTGCAATTTATTAGTTTATTGATCTTAAGAATTCTCAACATGTCGATCCTATACCTTTAAATAGGCCATTTTCACGATGTCATTTGACTACAACGACCAGGAATCATTTTGTTTCCCTATATTACTTGAAATTCTCATCCATGCCAAGGTTTAAGAAACAACACTTATATGCACAAGAACACATCAGACTGAGGGATTCTGGGTATTATTGTCAAATGACGTCATCATGCAACTGCCCTATTGCACAAACATCTACAAAATTTGGTATTCATCAACACCAGGTTCCTTTAATTTTTTAAAGTTGCTGTTCACATTTAATATTTCTGTACCATTTTGAATGTATCTAGTTGTAAAAAGTATTGTTACTAAGCACACAACTGGTCACTTTAGAATTCAACACAAGAATCTTCAATAAAATAAATAGTCAAGCCACTGACTGCAATGGATGCACTACAAGATTTCCCCTAAATTGCCAGATCTTAACCCTGTAAATCCCAAGTTTGACCAACATCAATTTTCTGCTAGCAATTTAAATACATTTTCTAGAGAAATATTTGTGAGAATTATCAAAGTGATTATAAACAAAGGGAAATTGCATAGATCTTTTATCACTCTTTATCACACTCTTTAGGAAATGTATTGAGAACAGTTTGGAGAATTTGTACATGGATACTGGGACTTAAAGGGTCAAAAAAAGAGGACAGCGAGATGCAGCCAATAGCTTATAACTGATCCTTTTTACATGAAGGAAAATTACCAATTTCAACATCTCAACACACCAAGAATTTAAGGCCATCCAATAATATTACTACTTTACATTTTCTAGCAAAATAATTACTGCATGCAAGACCCAAGAGATGATGAGTGTTCAACCTCCATCTCTTCAGTGAGTGCTCATAACTGTCACAAGTGTGAACCTGCACCAAATCTTACTTTTGTTTCCTTCTAGATAATATTCATCATTCATGTACTGTTCACACTGTACCACAAGGATTTTTGTGCCAGCACAGAAACTGATATAATACAATGTGAACAAAAACATAAAACAAAAGCCTAAAACTTCCAACACGGTACAAAGTTTTTCAGTTCGATTATCACTGCCATGCAGCAGCTGAAAAGTGGCATTTCATGTGTGAACACAAAAGAGCAAATGAGACAACATGAAAGCTTTCCAGTACAGTGTGAATACGATTGAACCTTACAATCCTGCTCTTCCTGCATACTTACTAATAACAGGTACATTATTAGAGAATTTGACAATCACTAAAGGAGAAGGAAAAGCTTATAGCAGCTTAGGCCTTCCCAATAACTCAACAGAAGGTCATGAATGGTTATCGACTGACACTAGAATGATTGACGCAATAACTTATATTTTTATAAATCCACTGCCAACAAAACACAAAATCACATATCATGCAGCTACCCATTGCTACATGAAAAGTTAGCAAAATAATATACAATACTAATAGAAGACAATGAAATTCCACAGTAATATTCAGCACTTTTGATTAGCTACCTTGCTTGGATCAAGGAACTGAAGGATTTGGTCAGGTAACTGGCAAGTTGGGTTACACAGAGGTACCAGTTTAATTTATCATCATGGGAAAACAAAAATTAGGTTAATGGACCTGCACTAGTTTTGCCTTGATTCTGGAACACTCTTGTTTGTCACGATAAATACGCATACATGCCTAATGCCACAGCCTTCAATTTATCAAGAGGTTATTAGGCTTCTACGAGTGATGATAGATATAATTTATATCATAATATTAAAACAGCAAAGCAGAATCAAAGAAAGAGAGTTTCATTTGACAAGCAAGAACCTCTGCTAGTGCCATAAAAGTCAAAACAAATAAATCAGTCTTTGGCTCTCACTTTAAACATTCAGACGTTTTTTTTACAACTCTTTCTTTAGAGAATGGTACATCTACACAGCTTCTGTTTAGAACACCTATGTATTAATCCACTCCAGTTCTACACAGCATTCATTGTATAGCTAGGTGTGTGGACAAACAGAATCTTGTCCCAAATCAAGATTGTAAGTGTCATTTTCCACATCAATTTACATGTACCAGTCCATTATTCAAAGCAATGTACATTTCTTTTTCTTCGGTTGCTCTGGAGGTTCGAGTGCTGCCAAGATTGCTTCATCAAAGACATTTTTCAGGCCCTTTTGTGTTAATGCAGAACATTCTACATATTTGACAGCTCTCAGCTCTCGTGCTTGCTTTTCTGCAGATTCAACAGTGATGGGTTTTTGCTTGTTCTTGGCTAGCTTCTCTATTGTTGAAGCATCATCACGCAAGTCGACTTGGGTACCAACAAGTAAAAACAGTGTCTTCGGACAGTGATGGGTTATTTCTGGAACCCACTGAAATGGAAGAAAACTTGCTACTAGTGTCTGTCAAACGCAAATACATTTAAAGGTTTTGAACAAAAATTCAAGACTTTTTCAAACGCAAATACATTTAAAGGTTTTGAACAAAAAATTCAAGGACTTTTCAAGGACATTTCTCCATTCAGTGCAAAAATGAACCTTGAGTCTATGCCTTTTTTAGCTCTTCCACAACATGAGTAATTTCATCCTGAAGGTCTTTCTGTGTTTGCTTCTTTCACTTTGAAGTTCTACTTAAACTATAAAGTTAGCATTGAAATTCAAGGACTTTCAAGAACCGCTGACAATTTTCAAGGACTTTCAAGGCCTTGAATTACAATTTTAAAATTTAACAACTTCCAAGGACTTTCAAGGGATGTGCGAACCCTGCATATAACACACAGAGCCAAAGCAGTGGTAGCCTAAGAAAACAGCAGAAAATTAATTTGGTGATCCCACGACTGGTGTCCCTGCAAAATGTAACCTGTGTCAGGCTCTCAGTCACTGCAGACAAGTTGTTAAAGCGAGCAAGCTGTGAAATAACGAACAAGTGAAAAATGGCGGGAAGAGAGAAGTGCATGGAGAGCCCGTAAGCATCTTTTCAAATACCTCAATCTGCCCTCTCCCCCTACGTCTGCGCTGGAGGTTGCCTGACACATGACTCATGGCCAATAAATTGATTTCTAGAATGGCATGGGAGCCCAGCTAAGCAGTCACAACATTAATTTGTTGAAGTCAATATTGTGACTTTTTGACAATGCATCTTAAACATCGTTGCCTTAAAGATGTTACAAGTTAATCACAGTTTCAAAAGACTAGGGTTGGCAGATCAGGCCCTTACCTTTTCTTTAACATTTTCAAATGAAGCTGGCGAAACTACAGAAACACACACAAGAAATACGTCTGTCTGAGGGTAAGAAAGGGGTCTCAGCCTGTCATAATCTTCTTGACCTGTTAACGAATAAAAACAATGAACAATTACTAACAGTCAAACCTCAAATTTGCAGCCATCCGTTAAGCAATCACCCTCTAGTAAGCAGTTACTTATCACATTCCCAGAATTTGCTTCCTGCAATAACAATACATTTGACCCCTACGAAACAGCGATCTCTATTGAGCAAATGAAGTCGCCTTCATGCCAATTTTTGTGTCATGTGCCTCCATGATAATGGTCATATTGTTACATTACAATGAAGAAACTGTAAAATAATGAAGACTGTTGAAGGGAAAGATAATTAATAACGAAAAATAAATTAAAAAAAGTAGCACAAACCCTAAACGGACACAAATGGTTTTAAGAAATAAAAAGATACTCAAGAATGCTCAACCAAACACAGACATTGTGATCTACCCTTATTTATCAGTCAGCTTAAAAAGGGCATCATACAATTACACTAATAATGCTTGCCATTATCAAAGATAATTAATAACGAAAAATAAATTAAAAAAAGTAGCACAAACCCTAAACGGACACAAATGGTTTTAAGAAATAAAAAGATACTCAAGAATGCTCAACCAAACACAGACATTGTGATCTACCCTTATTTATCAGTCAGCTTAAAAAGGGCATCATACAATTACACTAATAATGCTTGCCATTATCAAAGAGGAAAGCTTCATTGCTTTGGGGGAAAAAAAGGCCTCATTTGCAAATGACAGGTAAGTGTCACAAAGGTTTGGGCTCCACCTGTACCAGGGTTGTCACTAAGATTTCAAGTTGCCGGGTAAATACAACAAGTAGGCGGGGAATCAAACGGCTAGGGATTTCTTTTGGTTCTATTTTCCAATAAAAGTAGCCGGGGGCCACTCTCTTAGTAGCCGGGGAAAATCCCCGGCCCCTGGCTCTTAATGACAACCCTGTGTACTCTAGTATAATGGTTTTTTTAAAAGAAAACAAATACACATGTTACTTCAGTTTAGATTAGTGGTAAGGATGAAAAGTAGTTCCAGGAGACCATTTAAACCTGCACTGAGTTACTTGCCCAATTTCAACCACAATCATACTACAACAGAGTTAACAAACAATAAATTTATTTTAGTATTTACCAAATCAGTGAATAGCAATTTTTGTGCATTTTGATTGGCTCCTGTAACTTGCAATATCCTTGGCTATTCACCGTTATGCGACTGGAGCCAAAATGGTGTCTTGTTTTGAGGCATTTTCGAAAGACGAAATTTGAGCAATAAATGAAGCAGTCAAAAAAACAAATACCAAGAAATACAGTATTTTGCAACAGCTCTTGCATCTCAATAAGGTATATACCCCGAGTCAGTATTAAACAGTTCTAAAAAACCCTCTTAATCAGGAGACAGAAAAGGGGCTTAGTCAGTTTATAAAAATTATCATTAATACTCATACTGTTATTTACAATATCTGTCACCTGATTAGCTCAGTTGAGAGAGTGCCAGTCTGCCGAGAGGGAGGTTGTGGGTTCAAACCCTATCCGAACAACTGACCAGGGTCTCTAAAAAACTCAGTTCAGATGATCGAGTCATTGGACTATAGTGACATTAGGCTATTGGCCTTGTACGTCTCCTTCATCCTTCTATCATTAGTCAGATCAAAACGGATGTAAAACAACCCAATGGCAACTACCACAAGGTTACAAGTTTTCAACATTATGCAACATCCTACTATGCATTAACTTAAGAAACTGTGCTAAAGTGAGATATAAATGTAATCTTCAGACTTTTAATAGTCAGAAGTGACAAACCATAATATTATTCCCAAGCATAAAATAGTGTACATGTTGTGGTTTAGTTTTATTCATGGTTTAAATTTTACTTTCCTTTGTTTCAAATTGATCATCATACATTACTATACCTCAGAACAAAAAAAAAATAAAATTCAAGCCAAGGATATTGGGATCTTGTTTACTGTGGGTAATGTCGACCGAGAGATATCGGTCGATATAGCGGTCGATATAGCGGTCGACACTCGGTCGATAGTCGGTCGACACTCGGTCGACACTCGGTCGATACTTGGTCCACACTCGGTCGATAGTCGGTCGACACTCGGTCGACAGTCGGTCGATATAGCGGTCGATAGTCGGTCGATAGTGGGTCGACACTCGGTCGAGACACGGCCGATAGTCGTTCCAGATGTGTCTCGGCCGATATAGCTTTTAGTTCACCGACACTTCGCCGACATTTCGCCGACATTTCGCCGACACTTTGCCGATACTTGGTCGATAGTTGGTCGATACTTGACCGATGTGTCGGTCAGTAATTGGTCGACACTCGGTCGATGGTCGGTCGACACTTAGCATTTCCTACATTTTCCTACATTTTTGCGGGACCACAGGAGCAGCAGATTCAACTTAGGCTGAGACAGGTTCTGTTTAACAGCTAAAACTCAGACGATCGGTGATGATACAAACTGGAAAAAAAAGGTTATCATGTCCTTAGTTCCCAGTGCTCTTCGGTTCTCTTCATAGCGTAATCGCGCCTTGCTTTGCCACATGTTCCCCATCGCATGATAACAGTAATTAATGACGTCTTTGCTTAAAAAAAAGCCATTGGACTCACCTGATAAATTAACACACGACTAATATTCGAACGACAGTTGACCGATATACCACCGACAGTTCACCGATATACCACCGACAGTTGACTGATATACCACCGACAGTTGACCGATATATCACCGACAGTTGACCGATATATCACCGACATATGACCGATAGTAAGTCGAGGTGCGTCGACGGAATATCGACCGATACTCGGCCGATAGTCTATCTCACTATCGACCGACTATCGACCCACTATCGACCGACCATCGACCGACTATCGACCGACTATCGACCGACCATCGACCAACTATCGACCGACTATCGACCGACTATCGACCGACTATCGACCGACTATCGACCGACTGTCGACCGCTATATCGACCGACTGTCGACCGCTATATCGACCGCTATGTCGACCGATATGTCAGTCGACATTACCCACAGTAAACAAGATCCGGATATTGAAACTGAACCTAAACAAATTTCCTGAATACAGCCTGTGATAAAACATAACATATCAAGCCATGCAAAAATATAAAATCCTGTTACACTTTGCATAAAAGCGATACATTTTGATGTACTTACGTATGTCTTTAGAATTTCGATATCTCCTTCATCAAGAGCTAGAAGAGGCAAAAATGACAATAAAATTTTTAATGAAAGATCTGAATCCGGGTTTCCATGTGCAACCGCAGTGAGGAAGATGTCGGTCGTGTTACTAATAAGTCCCGTCGTGATTTGGTATGATTCAAAGTATCACTCGCACCTTGGATTGGCTTATCGTCTTTTTTCTCGTCGTCTTTAATTTTCCTTTGATCTTTTCCTAAATAATCCGGCATTTTGTTTGAAACTTAGAAACTCTCTCACAGCAATGGCGAACAGGGAGAGAACTGCGCATGACCAATTTGTGCTTTGTCACGCTGAGGTTGAAAAGGTTCATGGGAGCGATAGTGCCAGTTTCTCAGCAAATAAAGAAGATATCATTTCTGCCATATTTCAGCGAGCGACGGGATTCAGTCTTAAGCCCATAACGCAATGAAATACAGATAAGTAATCACTTAAAAAAAATCGGATAAGACATTTATGTACTGTGCAATACGACTCTCGACCAAGCATTTTCTCCAGATCCAACTGACTGTCCTTGGGTCTCCGAGGATGGGGAGGCCTGGGTGGGGAGGTTGGGTAGTCAACAAAGTTTTATATGGGGAGGCTCGGTCAAGACTTTGCATCCCTTTTAACTGCTGTAAATACAATATGTTTCAAATATGAATAAATGACAGGAACATAAATTTTCTCGACTTTTTCAAGGTCATAAAACGCGTTTATAAGCTCTTTTGGAGCTTTTTACAGACCGAAATGACATACCGTAAAATTGCGAAAATAAGCCCCTCCATGTATAAGCCTCTCCAAATATAAGCCCTCCAAAATCGTAACGCAAAAAACCCTCCGTTAAATCGTCTCTCCGAATATAAGCCTCCCGGGGCTTGTAATTGGAATTTCGCCTCGAATACAAAGTAAAACAAAGCAAAAAATGGTAAATCTCCCTCCCACAACAAGCTAGTTCAATCGATTTTGAAACGCAAATTTCTCTTCGTAGATAATCCCCTCCGAATATAAGCCCCTCCAAAAATAAGCCCCTCAAAAGAGGCCTTTGAAAAATATAAGCCCCGGGGCTTATTTTCGGAATTTTACGGTATTCCTTACCCTTTCGTATACTTCAATTCGTGAAATCACCACCTGAAGCCTGAATTTCAAAAAAGGTACCTCTTTTGGGCTGAGCCTCCCCTTATAGGGCAAAAAGAAAGTATTCCTCGGGATAAGAGGTCGGATCGAAATTTGGTTCCCTCGCTGTTGCTAGCTAGTAGGAAAGTTCATAATGTAAAATGTAGCCGCATAGAAATTAACATATTTCGAGCGCAGTGTGAACAAATAAGCGCAATAAGATTGGTACAATTCTTAGTTGAAACGATCCGTTTAGGGCGGCGAACTGAACTATGATCATGCGTGTTACGTCTCCTGTAACCACGTCCCCAGGTTCTTCTCGTTTTCCAATATGGCGGAGGCAGGAGAGAACCTGTTTTCTTCCTCTATTTTCAAGTACTGCACGAAACTCATCAGAACACCGGAATAGCGGCACGCGCTAATGCTCTTAAATGTTTGATTTTGATAATAGTAAATGCTTTTTTTTCGTTTTGGTCTTTGGACCGATTGAGGAAGTACGAAATCGGAACACCGGAAAAACCCAGCCAATTCTCTGAATATATTGTTTTTTGATAACAACACCTTTCAATCAATCAATCAATCAATCAATCAATCAACTTTATTTAAACACGGTAAATGGCTCAGCAAGCTGGTTTTCAGACATGCCGTGTGATAATTACAATTTATAAAAATTAAGACTAGTGATTAACTAACAATACAATATAACAGCAAGAAATGAGTATTA